GTTTATTAGATAAATGTTTATTTACAAATTTAATTATTTAATTTATGGAAATAAGTTAGATTGAATAAGTTCCTACCGTCTGATTTTTTTTTCATAAATAATATTTTTTGATAAAAATTACCCAAATAATAAATGTTGAATTACTTTATTTATCACATAGACTTATTTATTATTCCTCGTAAGAATTTGGTTCAGCTTATTTTTAAATTAAATTATTTTATATTAAATTATTAAATTTATTCTGAAGTAAATTATATATATATATATATATATATATATATATATATTTATATATATTTAAATTTATGATGTTGAATTTTTTATATTAGTTATTAAAAAAAGAATTATATTATGAAGATATTAATATAAGTAAGTAAATAGAACATTAATAATTTTTTTAAAACTATTTAGATTTGTTTAATATTTTTTTTTAAATTAATACTAAAGTATTTATATTAATTTAATTCTTATAAATATTGCATATATATATATATATATATATATATATATATATATATATATATATATATATATAACAAGAATAAAGAAGACATAATTTGAAAATTTATTTATTAGAATATTGTGAACATGATATATATAAAAAAAGAAAAATAATCTTTTGAAATTCTAAATTTAGCTACAAAATTGGTTTAGTAAAATGATTAATAATCTTTATGACTTAGTTTTTGAGGAATCTCATGTAGATCTTAGGAACTCAATATAAGTTATATGCAGGATTGATGTGGTTAGTAAACCAGTGAGTGTTTATTTGTATACAATAATGCAAATTCCATAAATAAAATTTCTAAAACTTACCACAATCACATCATGATTGTTTAGCCTTATTATGAAGTGTGATTAACAATGAAAATACAAAAGGCAGTAGAGAATAGGGTTTTCTCAAAATGTGTAAAATATCTCTGTTGTCTTACTCATAATTCTTTTCTCAAAACTGATTGAATGTAAATTGTATTTTCGAATTCTGTAATTGTGTGTTTTTGATTTTTCATCAAAACTTAATTAAATAGAAAAATAACATCAGAAAATGGTCGTTGAACATTAATAATATCATAGAGAAAATCAGGATGTATTAAAAAATATTTATTCTTAAAACAGATATATTTTTTTTTTAAATTTGAATTGCCATAGTTGATTATATTACCAGTATAATCAATTATGATAGAGAAAATCATTTTTCAATTTCTGATGCATCATAATTAATTATGACAGAGAAAAATATCACATTATGAATTTTATCACACTTGTGCTTTGGAGGCTTATGCATAATATTACTTCATCAACTTGTACCTCCATATCCAATATTATAAGACTCTATCTAGTCTTCAGGAATCATCTTGGGCTTGCTTGAATCATTATCTTTATCAAAAACATATCTTTGACATGTAGGGAAATGTTTCATATTTTCACCAACGTCATAAATTCAGCTTGTCCTTAATTCATCTTGAATGGTGTTGACTTGAATGTAGTTGACTTGAATCATCATCAAAATCATCTCTTGGGAATGTAAGGACATTTCCATCAATCTCCCCCTTATTGCTTTCATATTGGTCTCACATATATTGAATTGACAATTTTCTGTATCATAGATCTTGTGTTCATTCGCTCAAATTTAAGGATTTTATTAGTTTTTGTCTTTGAATAAGTATTGTCCGAAATCTCGACTGCCTCTTTAGAGTATACATGTTCAGGGGTAACTATGGTAGTTACCTCCCTACCTTTTCCAATGAAAAACTTATTACAATATATGTAAGTTGTTATCACCAAGAATAAGAATGTTTCTTATATTTTTTTCATACTGAATTATTAGACTCTACCAAATTGGTCGTCATGTGTCCCAAGCATCATTTGTTGTCTCAAGTGAGTGTTTACTCCTCTATCAAAATTTCGTTTGACTATTGTACCACCTCTGAATTTTTATTTCTTATTATGTTGTAATAGCATAAGAGTTTGGGATTAGACATTTCATATGCTGTTTAAAATAAATGAAGATTAATTAGTTAATAGTTCCTTGAGTACTGTATCAAATTAATGAGTTTAGAAAAGAACAAATCTTACCCATATTCAAAACATCCTTCTTAAGTGGAGTATTTTTGAACCTCCTCAATGCCTTGCGATAAGTGATAGTGTATATTATTTGATATGAACAATTATTATTGAGAAAATGTTAAAGAATCAACATTGACATTCTCTTGGATTGTTTGAGAAATAAGGCATAACTCCAATTTGTTATGATTTTGAGAGAATAATAGGGAAACACGTGAGTGAACACTTACAACTTTATTATTTGTCACTATTGCGCTCTAATACGCAATATTATTTTGTACCTCCAGTCACTTTACATAAATACACTGCATTATAAGCTTTGAAATTTGCATATTGTATATGCAATGATGAATTATGTGAAATTTGTTTATTGCGTCTTGAACATCTTGTTTGGTGTTGAAGTGCTGACTAACAAACAATATTCCAAGGGGTGGACAAGTGTATTTAGTAAAAAACATGACCAAATTTTTGGTCAAGGCCATTTATGGTGAATTGGAATTTGAACAATTGTTATGGTGAGTTATATGTTAGTTTATTGGGTTGGATGTTTGGTTATGGTTTGGATTATTATCCTCTTCATCTGCATTGACAAAGAGGATGTCATCTTCATTATGACTAAAAGGATCAAAACTTTTGGATGGAAGACCTATAATGACATATTTTTCCAAGTTTTTTTGTTAGGTTGAATGTAATTCATCTTCTCCAAGGTTAATGAAAGATCCTGTGAGAAGTTATGTGTATGTTTGTATATCTAATTCCCAAGAACCATAATATGAAGGATTATGTTATTGGTGGTATGATAGTTCAAGTTGATAAGATGATTTAGCTTGCGGGTGATATCACATGAAAGATGATAAGAAGATTCTAGTTGAGAGTTATCTATTAGTTGAGGTTAGTATGAATGTGATGAAAGAGATAATGAGATTTTGGGTCGAGATTAAGAAAATAATAAGATTTAAATGTAAAAAATAACTCAATACTTTATAACATTACTGTAGATTCATAATTGGCAAATATATATTAATATTGGCATCATTTCTTAGCTCAATAATAATGTATTTGTATATCATTTGGATTGATTTAATGAGTAACGAAAATGAGATGTGACTAGTTTTTGGTGTAATCCTCTCTACAACGATTTAATGATATTTTTCTTCAAACTTTGCATGGACATTCATCTCTTAAGGAAAATAATCTTTGGTGATTTGAGTATGACTCCTTCTATGTTGGAATTATCTATGACTCCATCATAATGACAAATGCTATAATGAGAAAACATGATTTTCAAAGAAGAAGGATATAGAACTCTTGGTGGGAGAGTTTCAGAGGATAAGGTTACAAAGTGATAAATATTTGTAAGATTTATTAAGGTTCTATGAGATAGAATTTGAGTGGTTGATGATCAAATTTAATGTGGTTAAATCACAATTACCAAATTTAATACAATCAAATCATAATCATATGATGTAATGTGATGAGTCATAATCATTCAATTTTTAATACTCCTTTAATCCTATTTAATTTATATTTTTTGTCTTCCTACACAAATAACTCTTATTTAAGTTAAATTGTTTCAAAGTTTAAAACATATTTTGAGAAATTTCTTCATAAATATTTTTTGGAAAAAAATGAAATAAATTTTGTTATAAACTAAAATTAACTTAAATAAGAGTTACATTAAATTTAAATCTAAATGCATTTTTTCATTTTAAAAAACTAATTCTAAATACATCGCAACAAGATATTTTATTAAAAATTAAAATTCTTAAAAATAATTTTAGAACTACAAATTAAAAAGAATGATGTTCATTTTCTTAAAATTTATTGATATATTTTTAAACTTATAACAAGCTATTGTACACTAAGACAGACAATTAAGTTTATTAATTATAAAAACATTTTAAATATAAAATAAATTAATGAAAACAGACAATTAAAATCTAAGGTGGTGGTTGGAAGCAACTAACAAAGACTTGGTATTTTTGCTAAGAAGATTCAATTTTTCCTTTTTTATCATCCAAATTGAATAAAATTTTAATAATATACTAAAAACAATAAAACGAGTTGGTCTTCACTGACAACGTAAAATTAAATTGTGTAGCTCAACTTTCATCAAAAGAATTCTTAATAATTTTCTTTACGATTTTTTAATTTCATATAAATAAATTTAAATTAATTTATTTCATCTCATTATATTTATATATAGTTTTTTTTTTCAATTTTATCATATTATTTGTGAGTGTTATTTAAAAAAAAAGTTAATATATCTTTTTATATTAACACCACTAGAATTTCTTATGTTACATGATCATGTTGATATATTATTATTGATAATATATTGACATAAATATTATATCAATACTTAATATTAAATTTATTTGTTAATAAAGAAAAATATATCGATTCGTTTTTTTAAAAAAAGTGAAACATATTATTAACGAAATAATTTTTAAAAAAATTAATACTACCAATCAAGTTTTAAAATTTATTTATTTTTTAACTTTAAACTTTTTATATAAATATTAAGTTTCGGTTATAGGTAAGAATTTTAATGTTTAAATTCAACGTTCCACGAAATATATATATATATATATATATATATATATATATATATATATATATATATATATATATATATATATATATAAAATAACAGAATGAAACTCTAAGCGCGCGAAAATTGCATCGCACTCCCTTCCCCGGAAAATCCTCCCAAATTTTAAGTTGCACCCTCCTTCTCCCTTTCCCGGAGAATCCTCCAAAATTTCCCGGAAAACGCTCCTCCTCGCGATCACGTCATCGAATTCTCTCCCACGCCTTTCCACTCTTCAATCTCTCACTCTCGACAGTTCCCTTACTCCTCCCTTTCGTCGCCAAGAAATCCCGAGCACTCTTCACACCAATCGAATCTCCTCTGTTTTCTTTCTCCCACGGCGATGGAAGATGGAAACAGCGTCGTGCCGACGATAGAGGCACTGGAGCGCGAAAACGCGTCTAAGAAAGACGAGATCCAGCAGCTGAGGATGGAGATCGAGTCGCTGCGGTACGAGGCTGCGGAGCTGGAGTCGGAGATATGCGTCGTCGAAGAGGTTGGATCGGAGGCGGTGGCACTGAGGAGTATCCTCGAGGAGCGAGAGAGAACGCTCGTGTTTCTTGAGAGTGAGACGAAGACGCTGAAGCAGCTGAATGCGGAGAGCGAGATGAAGGTACGCGATCTGGAGCGTAGGATCGGCGTTCTGAAAGTGCGGGAGAGTGAGGAGCGGAGCAAGAGAGTTCGCGTGGAGGAGGAGATGAGAGAAAAGGTCGGCGAGAAAGAGAGAGAGATTGAAACGCTGAAGCAGAGAATCGAGATTTTGGAGGAAGCGAAAGGTGTAGAAAGGAGTGTGAACGGAGAGATAGAGGATGAAGAAGGGAAGAACGGATCGGGATTGTTGTGGCCGCTGGCGGCGGCGGCAGGTGGAGCCGTCGTTGCTGTATTCTATTTCTCTTTTCGAAAACGTAGGTGACGGTTCAAGGTAATTTTTTTTAATATTTTTTACGTAATAATCACATTAATTATATTAATAATATATTTTGTGTAGTATTCTTAAACACTCTTCAAAATGAATTATTCTTCTTTTTATGGTTGTTAATGTTTATTATTTTTGTACAATTTTATATTAGTATTAGACTTTAAATTGTTGTTTTTGATAAAAATCATCCTTACGGCAGATTTAATAACACTTTTATCTATGAAGATTATGTTTCACGAGTGATTTTAATTAGTTTTTAGTATTTTTAAATTAACTGAAAAAATGATTTGATTTTATTAATAACATGCGGTAAACATGATATTTTAGTAGTTTGTAACGTTTTTAAAAATATTCTTTGAAATAGTGTTTATTAATTTCTAGTTTCTAACCTCTTACACTTATTCTTTATTGTGTATACAATATTTATTAAGTTTTAATTTTAGTATTTCTTTTTCATGCAAGACATGATTTTGTTATTTATATAATTTGCATTTAATTCTCAAAGATAATTTTATTATTTTTATTTTTAACATGATGTAGGATTTTTTATTTTTATTAAAATATTGACAATGAGACCAAATAAGTTTATTTTATTTATATTATATTATATTAAATTGTTTATTTTGTCTATTATATTATTTATAATATATCTATTTTAGGGTTTAGGATTTAGGGTTTTGAAGCAAACTTTTCATCATTCGGTGCATATTGGGCTTGCTTTAGCGTTTTTGCCATTAGCTTGAGTAGATTTTTAACTTTTTATGTTCCTTATACGCTAAGCACACTGAAGAAAAAAAACTTGAAGGTTTGTGGAAACCAAATTGACCAATTCAACAAATTAGAGGTCAAATTTAGTTTGCAGCTGAGTCAGTTGTGTTGCCACACATGTTTAACAGATACTTTCACTAATTTGAGTATATCCTACTCATTTTAAGCCCGACTAAAACATTCGAGTTCTTCTTGGAAAACTTATTCGTGGATCATCTTTTAAGCCAAGGTAGACTAGGAATTCTAAAAGAATTCACAATTATAAATAGGTCAATTCAATCTGCGAATATATGTAGTTTTTTTTTTTTTTTTCATTTTGAATTTAAGAAATTATTTTTTCTCCCCCCTTCTACATTTTTGCACCATTAATCTTTCAAGCTTCTTCAATTTGAAGACTGTGGAAGGGTAAAAACCTTGTGAGTCCAGTCCAGGGAACTGAGATTTGAATTTTCCACTCTTTTGCATTATAGTTGTTTTGTATGAATTCTCTTAATTTGAAATTAAGTTAGTTGAATAGTAATCCAGGTTCACTGACACAATTTGAAATATTGTTATTTGCTTCACTTTTTGTTAATTGAGTTTCATGGGAAACTTCTTTATGAATTGATAATTAGGTTTTAGAAAAAATAATATGAGCTAATTTTTACAAATTAGCTTACATATAAAACGATTTTTTTAATTCTTTTATGCTAGAATTATAAGAAAATTTCTCCAAATAGTTATACTTAAGTTAAATAAGTTGGAGTAGAATTAACAAAGGTTTATATGTAAAACAAAATCAATTTAGTTGTGAATAATGATAAATCCTAGCGCATAATTTGAATTTCTTGAATTATTGATGTTAAATTAATTTGAATTATATATGAAAATCCCTTTTCTATTACCTCCTTATTAGATTAGAAGTGTCAATACGAGAGAACGACCTAAGTTACACTCATTAATTTAGCCGAGGAACCTAATTGTGTATCAGACAAATGCTAATTTATTCAAAGGTAATAACTAATTAGGCTTTTTTTTACTAAACAGTGTAAAAAAAATGATTTTACGTGAAGGGGTAGAAAATTAAAAATGGGCTGAATCGTGTTTGAGGGGGACAATTCTTGCATAAAGAAATTGAAAGCATGAGTTTGACACTCATCAATAAAATGGTGTTATATAGTATAATTTTAGTTAGTTATTATTAAAAAAAATACTAGGTAACACGAGTTCATTATTAATTTTTTTGTATTATACTTTTATTATCTATCACGAGTTTCTTGTATTCTTTTCTTAAAATAAGATTATTTTATTATTTTAAATATATTATTTATAAAATAATTAATTTTGATTTATATTAATTTAATAGAAAATAAAAACATTTAACTAAAAATTAAACTAAAAATTGAGAACATAAAAGAAACGGGGACGAGATAAAATAACAACTTGTCTCGAAGTAGGAGATTTTGATTGTGTTCTTGTGAAACCTTTATTTATAGGAGACTAATCAAGAAAAAATAAACTTAGAATTAATTGTAATATAAAATCAAATATTTCCTAAATTAAAAAAATGAAAAACTAGATTATTGTGACGATAAATTTTTGGGACTGATTTGAAGGAAATAATTTACTTCTTTTCTATTTTAAGTGATCTAGTATTGATTTACATTTAATTTTTTATTCTCGCTAGTCTTTAATTTAACTAAATTGGATTTCCACACCAGTTAATTTGTTTGATTCAAAACTTTCATATGTAATGATTTGTAAGTAAGCTGCACAAGCAAACTTGAGTTTCTAGAAGAGTGAAACTCGGTTGCATCAATTTAGACCTTTATTTTTATTAATTTAGTCAATCTTAAATTATCTTTCGCCTACAAAAGAAAAAAAAAAGAGTATGCATTATGTGGATGTATGCATGTATATTATTTTTTTATGCTAAAACTATGCAAAATGTAAGAAATTAAGAAAAGTTGAATTATGCTATGCTTTTAATGAAAACATATTATGCATATGGTTTATGAAAAAAATAATTAATTTAAAGAATGATCTTAGATCAAGAAATAAATAGTAAGATGACATACATCAATTTGCTTGCCTATCATCATCATCATCATTTTCATCCTCTTCATTTGCATACTACATATGAGACATACTAGGCATAGTAGTCATGAAATGTGGTTGATTGTATGTTGACGGTAGTGTTCGTGGAAGAGGTGGAAAACATATTTGTTTTAGATAGAAAATGAAGTAAATATATGATAAACTTGTCCTCCAAATTAAAATTGAGTAGGTAAATTTTAAAGGTGACCAACATATCCAAAAAATGGATAAGGTTGTGATCACTCGACTAATCAACATGAACATGACTAGGTTGAGGCCAAAATCTATCAGTTCTACCTCTCATGTCTTCCCTGTGGAGTTTATCAAGATCGATCGAGTCTTCTAGAATTGGTTGGTGAAGGCCAAATTACCTCATAACCAGATTTGCTGAATGAAGCTCAACAATATCAAAATATATAATTGAAACTATAAATGACTCACAGGAGAAACCTTAATATTTATTAGTTGTCGTATCAAAATATATAATTGAAACTATACATGACTCACAGGAAAAACCTTAATATTTATTAGTTGTCGTAAAAGATTGACGATAAGAAGTCCACAAAAATTGTTTTATTTTATAGAACTTCTGAAATTATAATTATTATCATTTAAGAAATACATATTGAAAGTTGTAATAACTGAAATACCTCCTTTGATTTTAATTAATCAAATGTTAGACATAATGCATACACAATATATGTAACCACGCTGAACCTTACACCTGGTCGTAACCACCAATTGCATTATAAAATGAAGTAATTTTAAAGAAATGGAATAAAAAATATAAAATAAATTTGAATACCTTTTAGCCAATGGAAAACCATACCATGCAAATATCTCCTCATCGGTTAAATCTCTACCTTAGGACAAATGCATGTAATATGGTCTCATGCCCAAGCTTGAAGCAATAACATGCATCCTCAATGTTATCCTGATGGTAGTTAACGCCATGATCTAACGCTCTATACAAATATGCCAAAACAGTTGATCCCCAACCATAGTTTGAAACTAGAGTTAGGTCCTGCAATAATAGGAGATACATCAAGTACACTCTAAATGCTGAAGTATCAAGTAATAATAAGCTTTCTATTATTGTCAACATATGTACCCTGACATGTTGTGTCACAACATTATCGTCTGTATCATCCAAAAGGTGTTGAAATAAAGTGTTCAATCAAGAAAGTTGTATTGTGTTTCCTGTAGAAACACCTTACGGTAGGAATAAACTTAATAATAGTTCGCAAAAGACGATCAAATCTCCACTATTGAGACCAGTAACTGGCAATCCATTAATGGACAAACCTAATTGTAAGGTCACATCTTCTAACGTAATTGTGGCTTTTCCGATGGGAAAATGAAAGGTGTGAGTTTTAGTTCTCCACCTTTCAACTAACGTTGTGATCAAATGATGATTGATATCAATAGTTTCAATTATCATCAATTATTCAAATCCAACCTAGTGGATCAAATTTTTAACTCGATCCTCCAACATGTGTGCATGTTTTGTTATCTATATATTATGTCGCCTAGGACGTAATAATATTTCATTTCCTTCCCATAATGTTTTTGTGTCATATTTATCATAGAAACATAATAATGACATATGTAAAGGAAGACAACAATTGTGGAAAGCCATTTTTGTAAATAACATATGTTAATATTATTCATAATATTAATAATAATAGTATTAACAATAATAATAATAATATGAACAAAATGCAAAAATAGCAAAAAAATAATAATATTAACAATAATATTAACAATAATATTAATATCACTAACAAAATAAAAAACAGCAAAAAAAAATATTAACAATAATATGAACAAAATGAAAAACATAAAAAATAATAATACTAATAATATTAACAAAATATAAAACAACAAAAAAATATTAAGCATAATATTAATAATAACGAATTAGATGACCGTGTTATTAGACAATATTGGAGCAACATATTAACATATAGAAAAATATAGGAAATATAATATTTCACCAAATTTTTAATAATGTTGCTGCAACAAAGAAATAAAAAAGAGCAACTAGAAACTATAAACTATATAAGATACCTGGAACAACAAGATGAGAGGAAAAAAATGAACAACAAGATGAGAGGGATGAAAATAAATGTAACATGAAGCTGTATTTA